CTCTGTTCCAAAGGCCCAAAATGTCGAAAGTATTTGGGAGCTTTTCTCTAATCCTCAAAAGATTTTAGGGTTACCTCTACAGAGGGGGTAATGTTAGAGTAGCCAAAAGCCCCATAAAAATAAATAAATCAAAGAAGAAGGGAACACAAAGTTGTCAGAAAAAAAGTGATGGGGAGATATGGGGGCTGTTGGAGGGAAGGGAGTGGGTGTGGATTTGATCTAAACACCTTGTATGCATGTATTAAATTCTCAATAAAGTTTTTTTAAAAGTTAAAATAAAAAAAAAAACTATGAGATACCACTTCACAGGCATGAGCATGATCATTACCAAAGAAAAAAGAAAACTGCAGTGCTGATGTGAATATGGAGAAAATGAAGTTTATATGCACTGTCTGTGGGAATGTAAAATCAAGCATTTGCTATGGAAAATAGTACCTTAAAAATTAAAAAGTTAAATAGAACTACCACTGGATCCTAAAAACAAGAAAAATAACAGATGCTACATCCCATTAGGGTTATTATGCAGATTACAAAAGGTTACATATTTGCAATTCTCTTAAACATGAAATTTAAGCTCTCAGTGAGATGATACAGTGTCTGACAAAAAATTCAAGCGCTATAATAGGGCTGGAGAGGTGGCTCAGCAGTTAGGCACACTTGCTGTTCTTCTAGAGGACCCAGTTTGGTTTCCAACATCCACATGGTAGCTAACAACTGCCCATAACTCCAGTTGCAAGGGATCCGCCACCCTCTTCTGGCCTCTGCGGGCATTGCACTCATGTGGTGCACCCATGTTGTACAATGCCACAGAGGTTAGAAGAGGGCTTCGGAGTCCCCTGGAACTGGAGTTAATGACAGTTCGTAGCTGCCATGTGGGTGTTGGAACTTGAACCCGGGTCCTCTGCAAGAGCAATCAGTACTCTTAACTGCTGAGCCATCTCTCCAGCCCCATTTTTTATTTTAAATTTAAAAAAAGAAGTTACATGAATACAGCCTAAGGAACTTACAACCATAAATACACTTTTCTGAATGTATCTCCAAAATCCCAATCATACTATTTAAAAGCCATCCACATAAAAGGAATTACACAAGAATCGTAAGAAATGTGTAAAGTGAGCTAAGAAGATGAGTTAGTGGGTAAAGTGTTTGCCTTTCAAGCATGAGGACCTGAGCTCACATCCCTAGAACACATGTAAACAGCCACGCATGCCGAGTAGTACAATGGGCTAATGGAGGTACAGGAGGATTGGGCAGAGATTGGCAGGTCCCTGAAGATCATTGGCCAGTCAGCCTAGCGAAATCAATAAGCATCAGGTTCACTGAGAGACCCTGCCTCAAAAATCAAGATGCACAGAGACTGAGGAAAAAGACCCAACTGTCAGCCTCAGGCCTATGCACATCCAACATGCATGGGCACCTGTACACGTGCATGCACAGACCATATCCACAACATCCCCACCACACACACACACACACACACACACACACACGCACACAGGAGAAATGTACAAAGGGTTAGGCAGAATAAACTGAAGATGCTTGCATTCTGGCTAAGCAAAAAATAATCTCTAAGACTTTATAAAGTCTAAAAGCAGAGTTAAATGTATTTCATTTGTATTTCTACATTTCTGGCTTTTTTTAATATTTGTGTGTGTGTGTGTGTGTGTGAATGTACTGCCTGCGTGTATGTGAGTGCACCATGTCGTGCAGTGCCGCAGAGGTCAGAACAGGGCTTCAGATTCCCCTGGAGCTGGAGTTAAGGTCAGTTTATAGCCGCAGTGTAGGTGCTGGGAATCAAACCTGGGTCCACCGCAAGAGCAGTCAGTGCTCTTAACCGCTGAGCCATCTGTCCAGCTCCTATTTCTACATTTCTTTAAATTTTATGTAAATTATATAGATTTCCTTGTCACAAATAACCTATACTATTTGAAAAAGTAAAAGATACTTTACCTGAACTGGATGTTCACTAAATGAGGCTGGGAGCCATCCGACTGCCAGTAAGTTTCTAAATTGTCATCTCGTAACTGATCCACTCCAAACCCTAAAAACAGTAAAAGTGGCAATAAATTTCCATGAAAGAGTTATATATTTAAAACATAAGATTAACATATATATTTATCCAGAAATTTTTTAACACGATGGTTAGAAATGTACAACTTAATCAGAATTCTTCCACTCGTCTCCAGACCTCAAGCCTGAGAAGTGTCACTTGTGGGCTGGGGATCCATTCAGTGGTGGGGATACATTCAAGATGGCTTGTGACGTCCTTGTGAGGTAGATGTGTGAGGTCCTAGGTTTAACCTCCTGCATGCACAGAAGCTTATATTATGATAAACTTTTGAGGGAGGTTGGTTTTTAAAAAGCATCTTTCAGAATATATAAAGTGCATATTTACTCAGATCTAGTTTCTTATACTCTTTGTAAGCTGGCAGTAAGAATGATCCCTATGTCCTGTGATAGCCTTAAAATTACGCAGACTCGAGCAAGCCCAATTTGCCATACTTGCTTTTTCCTAGTTTATACTCCCTAAATAAAGATAACTAAATCACACAACTCTTTCTTAGGAGCTCTATCAGTTAAATGTTCTATTAAGGGTTTTATACTTACTTTACCTCAGCTAACTGGCTAGGGCTCTCCCTCTTTGTTTCATATTATGATTTGTATCTCACCTCAAAGAATCTCACAAAACGGAATTTATTTTTAAGCAAAATAAATCTTAATCTTGCAGCAAGATTGATCATTTGAAATTGTTTCTAAAACATTACTTATGAAAAATAATGGAAAACTCAATAGGTGTAACCTCTTCAAGAATTGATTGCTCTGAATTGTTACCTCTGGGATACCAAGTATAAGTAACAGTGTTTGCTTCGATAGTCATTCTTGGAATGTCTTAGAAACATGCTCATATGTCACTGTTATATTGCTACCTCTTTTCCAAGGCTTCCAACTCATTATTATATCTGAATTGCTTTAGTCAAACAAAAGACTTATTAACAATGGCAGACCTGTGATCACCACTTTCACATATGTTATGATAATGTACCCAAGTAATAGTATTAGTCAGAAAAAAAAATCTGTATGCCAAAACAGTCTACAGTGGTTCAGTAATGTTATTATTATCTGGGAATTTGTAAAGAATTCTAGGGTTGGACCTGGTGGCATATGCCTTTAGTTCCAACACTTAGAAGGCAAAGGCAGGTGGAGTCCAAGGTCATCTTGGTCTACATAGCAAGTTCTAGGTCTACCAGAGCTACAAAGTGAAACACTGCGCTAATTAGCTGCGCTGCCTTATGCCATGGGGCCCAGTGTCTCACACCAGGCTGTTGTGTTAGGGGGCTGGAGCTGCAAAGTCAGCTAGAAATGACATCCACGTGGAAAGAGGGGAGGGAAGAAGGGGAGGGGAGGGGAGGAGAGGGGAGGAGGGGGGGAATTCTATAGCTACCACATCAAAAATTTGAGAGTTTAGCCCCATTGAGAGTTGTGTTTTGGTGAATCTTTTAGATGATTCTGACATTACAATGTCAGAACTACTGTTCTAAGGCAGGGTTTCTTATTCTTGGCACTACTGATATTTTGGACTCAATAATTGTTTGTTGTAGGAGGGCTGTCCTGATCTCTACCTACTAGATACCCAGTAGGAAAAATCAAAACAAAACAAAACAAACAAACAAACAAAAACCCACAACAAGAAAAAAAAAAACCTCTTCCTCCTTCCCACAGTCATGATAATCAAATGTATCTACAGACATTACTAAAGGTTGGGGCATGGGGTGACAGTGGGGGTGGGGGAACCAATAAAATCATTCATATGTAAAAATAACTACCCTGGGCTGGAGAGATGGCTCAGCAGTTAAGAACACTGACTGTTCTTGCAGAAGACCGGGGTTCAAATCCCAGCACCCACACAGCAGCTAACAACTGTCTGTAACTCCAGTTCCACGGGATCCGACAGCCTCTTCTGTCCTCCACAGGCATTGCATGACATGGATGCACTTATTACATGCAGGCATAACACTCATACACATAAAATTAAAAAAATAAAATATTAAAAGAAAACTACCCTAAAACAAAGAAAAACATAATTCATCTTCTATGGATCTACAATTAGCAAATATTTACCCTTTCCCCCCTTTTTGTTTTGATAAAACACTCTGACCCAAAGCAACACAGGAAACAAAAGGGTTCATTTCAGCTTACAGGTTACAGTCAGTCACTGAGGGAAGTCAGGGGAACTTGGGGGGTGGAACCATGGAAGAACATGCTTACTGGCATGTTCTCTAGCTTGCTCAGCCAGGTTGTTTATACAGCCCTGGCCCACCTGCCTAGAGATGGTGCTGCCACAGTGGTCTGGGCCCTCCCACACCAATATCAATCAAGACAGTTTTTCACAGTCATGGCCACAGGCCAGTTTCATGAAGGCAATAATCATTATGTAGACCAGGCTGGCCTCAATCTTACAGAAATCCCCTGCCTCTGCCTCCCAAGAACTGGAGTTAAAGGCAAGTGCCACCACGCCCAGTGAGGCAGTTCTTTAAGAGAGGTTCCTTCTTCTCAGGTGACTCTAGGTTGTGTTAAGTTGACATAAAGACTAACCAGCACAGCTTCCATCTAAAGAAACTCATAAAAGAAGGATAAATTAAACTGAAAGTAAGCAGATAAATAATCAAAGTAGAAATCTATAATAAAGTTGGAACAATTAATAGAGAAAAATCAGTGAAACAAGCTAGCTCTTTGAAAGGTCCATAAAATTAATAAGCCTCTAGCTATCTAACAAAGACCAAAAGGGAGAAGACTCAAATACAAATATTCAGAAAGTAAAGTGGACAATCACTATGATGTCATGATAAAAGGACAACAAAGTAGTGTCATAAATAGCTCATGCCTACATACCTGATAACAATAAAATTGACCAATTTCTTGAAAGACACATCTATAAAAACACACAAAAAATTGATAATATGAATAGGTCTATATCTAGAAAGGAAATTGAATCAATAATTAAATTCAATAGGCTTAAGCAGTTTCACTTATAAATTCTATAAAACTAAGTAAGAATAATACCAAGTCTCTAAAATTTCTTCAGGAAACAGAAGCCGGGGGGAAGCTTCCTAACTCATCCTATGAGAGAAGTAATTCTCTAATAGCCATCCAAAGATATTACAAGAAAGTAAAATTATAGAACAACAATTCTTATAAAAAGGAGCCAAACTTCTCAAAAAAATATGCAAATGAAGTATGCATATAAAAAAGAATTATACACATGAAATGAGTTATTCCAAGTATGTAAGACTTGTTATATATTCTAAAATCCAAAAAGAAAATATATGATATCAGTAGGTGCAGAAATGTATCAATACCCATTCAATATAAAAAACCTCGGCAAACTAGGAAAAGATGGGAACTTTAACACAACAAAGGATAGCTACAAAAAACGCAATAGCTGACATGGCGCACTAACCTACACTTAATAGAAAAGCACTGGATACTTATCCCTAAGATAGAGAATAAGACAAAGGTGCCCCCCACCCCAATCACTCCTATTCAACTTCAGACTGAAAATCTTACTGTTAATGCAACAAGTCTAGAAAAGGAAATAAAAGACATAGACTGGAATAGAAAAAATAAAGACAATATAATCCAGCAAATCTACTCCTAAATATTTACCCCCCTCAAAACGCAAACAAGTCCAGACAAAAAATTCTACAGGAATGTTTAGTACTTTTATTCACAACTCAAAATTGGGAACAATCTTGTCCCAGCCATCACTATCTAACATATCACTCCAAGCATGTCTTAGGCAGCAACAAGACAAGAGAGGTCCCAACAATTTCAGTTAGAAGGGGGATGCTTAAATAATAGGACGAGATTTCGTTCAAGCTGGAACATACCTAGTTTATCTCAAGCTAGTGTCAAAGACCTCACACACATTACTAATACTAATGGTTTCTGTGTCCAGTATGAAAGCTCCCCATACCACTATAATAATTCTTATAGTATGCTAGGAAACTATGCCAGGAAAACCAACCAGGATTCAATCATGATAGAGTCAATTCAACAGAAGATCTGTTCTAAGACAGACTACCCACATAGCTATCAACAGAGTCCTCATTTCCTCATTAGCTACAGGCAGGAGGCAATGGCTCCTAGATAATCCAACCTTTCCATAAGGCCAGTTATTTCCTCACAAAGTGGTTGCTTATTTCCCCCAAAGTGAGTGACCAAACCAAACACAAAGCAGGAGCTCTAAAGCCTTTTATGACCTAGTCTCAGAAATCACATATTACCATTTTGTCATATTCCACTGATCTTAAGGACCAACTCTGGTACAATGTGGGAGGGGTCTTCTAAAGGGCATGAATATCAGAAGTCAAGAATCACTGAGAGGGCTGGGGATGTCGTTCAGTGGTAAAGTACTTGCCTTGCATGTGCAAGGCCCTGAGTTCAAGTCCCAGGACTGCAAAAACAATGTTTTGGGTGCTGAAGAGATGGCTCAGTGTTAAGAGCATTTGTTTTTCTTCCAGAGGATCTTAGTTCAGTTCCCAGCACCCATGTTGGGCAATTCACAAGCACCTGTAACTCAGCTTCAGGGTATCCAACAGGCATATCTTCTGGATTCCATGGGCATCTATAACACACACACACACACACACACACACACACACACAAAACTTAAATCTTACAGAAAAAAAGAATCATTGAGGACCACCTGGGCCACAAACCTGATGAATAGACTTTTTAAAACAGTGATATATTCAGATACTAAAACAGTAATCAGCAATAAAAATAAAAAACATACGATTTATACATACAACAGCAGAAGTCACATATTATACTCATGAAAGAAACCAGACTCAAAGTTTATATACTACTTGACTATATTTATAATGGAATTCTTCAAATGACAAAAGCAAAGCCACCCAAAGGACATGAAGGAATTTCAGGTGCTTTGAGGGAACAGAAAAACAACTACAAAGAGGCATGCGCAAACTTTGGGGAATTATGGAAATATTTTATATTTTATTGCAATGATGATAACTATATATTAAAATTCATAGAACCTGTACACCTAAAATTGGTAAGTTTTATTTCATGGAAATTATACTCCAATTAATTGCTCATTTAAAAAGGACTTATAGCTGGGCATCGTGATGTGCACCTTTAATCCCAGAACCTGGGAGGTAGAGGCAGGTAGATCTCTGTGAGTTCAAGGCCAGCCTGGTCTCCATAGTGAATCCAGGCTAGCTGTGGCTACAGGGAGACCCTGTCTCAAAACCAAAAAAAAGTAATCATAAAGAGAAACAGAAGAGGCTTGGTTGAGAGGGTAGCTACGTGAGTCTAATTGCATAAATAAGTTCCTGAAAAGAGAGTACTAAACTAATAAAATTATAATTCAGAGTTCCTGAAGTTAGAGAACTCTTTTAACGTGAGTTCTTCAGATTGAAAACGCCTATCAAATTACAGGCTAGATAAATGGGAAAAGATGCATAAATATCATACTCTGACATATCCTAGCAAGAGACTCCAAGAAGTAAAAGAAAAACCATAGCTGTTTCCAAGAACAGCAAATAAACAAAAAAAGTGAATTAAATAACAATTAAATCACAGCAGAGATAAGGGTCTTATCTGTCTAAAGAGGGGAATCTTGTGAGATACATAGTCAAATCTAACAATTAATAAAATCTTACAAGGCCTGGTGGCACATGCTTTTAATCCTAAGTACTCAGGAAGCAGATGCAGATGGATCTCTGTGAGGCTGAGGCCACCCTGGTCTACATAGTGCGTTCTAGGCCAGCTGTGGCTACAGGGAGACCCCGTCTCCAAAAAAAAAAAAAAATCTTAATAAACCTTTAAAAATATAGAGGACAGGAATGGGGGTGTTGAACTGAGAGTGTAAGAGGGGGGTTTGCATATGATCAAAATACACTGTAAGAAATTCTCAAAGAATCAATAAAAAATATTATATTTAAAAAATCTTACCAGGAATGGTGGCACATACCTTTAATCCCAGAACTAGAGAGGCAGAGGCAGGTGGGTTTCTGTGAGATCAAGGCCAGCTGGTCTACAAGGTGCATTACAAGGCCAGCTGGGTTACAAGGAGAGCCTGTGTCAAGGAAAAAAAAAAAACCCTTACTAAATTAGTAAAGCAGTTGAACAAAAAATATGCAATAAATAGAAACCCAGTTCACTAGAATTAAAATTAAGTATCTAAACAAAAAGAACATTAAAGTTAATCCAGCACATAAGGAAACTAACTGTATGTAATGATGATCAACAGGTTTTGTTTGCTTTACCTGGTTTGCAAGATGAGAGTGACCAAACGGCTTGTGACCCAATTTCCCTCACTGTTCCAGTCCTTTCCAACTGCTTAGGATCAGCACCGGGAGGTGTCTTATTTGGTGTGGTCATTTTAAAGTTATTCTATGGAGAGAGAAGCATTATGCATTATGCCAAGACATATCTTCCTGCAAAGGGTAAAAATAAAATTTCAATAGCAAAGTAATCACTCATATTCCCTTCATCTTACTCTTAAATTTTTCTCTAGTTTTATGTGTCTGAGAGTTTTGTCTACAAATATTAAGTGCGCCTATGCTTGCAATGCCGGAGGAGGCCAGATGAGGGAGTTGGAGCCCTTGACACTGAAGTTAAGGGCGGTTGTTAGCTGCTACGTGGATGCTAGAAACAGAACCCCGGCCCTCTGCAAGAGCTCTTAACTACAGAGCCCTTTCTCCAGCCCCATCATCTTATCGTTTGCTAATCCTAGCAAGCAAGCATGAAAAAAATAATTCTTAGGGTTCGACGTGGTGGTGCATGCCTTTAATCCCAGCACTAGGGAGGCAGAGGCAGATGAATTACCAGTGAGATCGAGACCAGACTGGTCTACATGGTGTGTTCCAGGCCTGCTAGGGCTATAGGGAAACCCTGTCTCAAAAAGCCGCCCAAACCCCAAAAACGAAACAAAAATTTCTTGGACAATGAAGAGTGTGCTAAATTGATACTCTCAACATTACTATAAATGCTGTACACCACCAGCTTGACACATCCCTTTAAATTTCAAATTATTCTTAGACCGCCAAATAATAATCATTAAAAAAAGGGCAGAGATTAAATTTCGTACAAGCCTGAATGCCCTACCACCTCAAGAAAAGAAAAAAAATTACAGGCTCATCTCTACATTAGGTCATAATTCAACGAACAGCCACCAAGTGGATAAAACACAAAGCTGGAGAAGGCTGGGATCCTGGCTTCACAGAACATACAACACTGAAGGACCTGAAGACCAGACCTGTGTTCCTGCTTGACATTCCCGGTCTACCCGAAGGCCCTGAGTAGACAGCGGAGCTCAAAGGCCTGAGACGGGAGGAGGACGCCTCTGGTCCCGCTGACTGGTCTCTAAACTGAGAACAGCCCATCCACTTACCGCCTCCAGTCCCGGTCCGCCGCAAGTCGGGTTCTCAGCGGCTCTGGCGGAGCCGAGCCACCCCCACCCCGCCCCTTAGTGCGGCCAAGCTTCCGCCCCTGTGTTCACTGGGGTCGCAGAAGAAGGACGTCACCGCGCCGTCACTCCCCACCTCCCTCCAGGGCGCCCACTCGCGCCGCTGTCGCGCAAGCGCAGTACGCGCTCATGCCTTTCCCGAGGCGTCTGGCTGGGCACCGCCATTTTGGCCGGTGGCGGTGCGAACACGCTGTGAGGCTGAGACGGCAAGGCCAGCGGTGTTCTGCACGCCCGGCTGCGAGGGGACCGCTGTCTCCAGGTACGTGAGTAGGTGGGAGGGGATTGGGCCTGGAGTGGCCGCCTGCCTCCTTCGAACGCCGTGAGCTACGCTGTGGCGCGGGTAGTTAGGCCTCCATAGCGGGGACGGTAGCAGCGCGTGGCAACCGGCGCCGGCCGCACAGCTGGGACCGCCGGAGCGGGCTTCGCCTTCCCGGCTGCGGTCGTCCAGCCCCCACCTGCCGCCCCGGGGACGGTCCCGGGTGCCTTCGCCCCCAGCAGCCCACCCTCCACGCCCCCTTTTCCCAGCTCCCACCCCGGGGCTGCTCTGAGACGGAAGGCACCGTCTGGCGCATCCCTGGGCCCCGCAGCCTCCCCGCACCGTCAGATGGCTACGTTGTCATAGAGGCGTGCGTGGTGGTGGGAAGTCGCGGTTTTGCTTGTACCTTTCGATGACTGTGGTGTGAGTCATGGCGTCTTGCCGCCGTGAAGACCATTACTTGTGGCCCGCTCCCAAGCTTTGTAGACATGATGGTCGGACGTCGTTGTGCTTTCCTCGTAGAGCAGCGTGTAGCCGTGACAGTTGTTCCAAGTTCATTTCCGAGTTGAATGCCGTCTGTAGGGCTTTGGAGTGGTGCTTTTGTAACTCTCCTCACTTTTCTCGTTCGTGACTTCACTGCCGTTTATTCCATCTTGAGCTTCTTGACGTTGAGGTGGTGTCTTTACTCCAAATAGCTTTAGATACGTTTTCAGAGCTTCATTCGTTGCAGGCCTTTCGTCTTTGTGGCCAAGGAACGACGGCCAAAGCCGAATCCCCACACGTCGCGTGAACTTCGTTAAGTATTTTATCTTTTTTGATGGCGAGACCGGTGACTAAGGAATTGGCCAAACAAGCTTTATTAGTTTTACCTTTTCTTCCAAGGGACTCCCAGCTGGAGTTATGAGTGACATATGTGTTGCTGTCACTACAACTGTGTGCTGAAAATGAGCCTGTGTCAGCCACTTCACACCAATGTATTCAGTGTAATCAAAAGTTATTTTATATATTTGAACCAAAATGTGCTAGGGATGTTTTGTTTTCTTTTTTCCTTCATTAAAATAGCTTAACTCCTACGTTAAAAAAAAAAAAAGAAAAAAACAGAAGACTATTTACTGATTGAAAGAAGAAACATTCAAATCAAACTTAATGTGCCTTTCCCACCTTACTAAGATTTATAAGGTTAATTTACAGTAAGGACAGGTCATGTGATTTTAGACTGCAAATGCTCCCTTGTGGGTGCTTCACTTAAATCCTTTCAGTCACCTAGAGAAATGTTGCCAGAGTTCTTGCTTTAGTAGTATCTGTTTTGAACAGTTTGTCTTCAGATCTGAAATATCTATCATTGTTATATAAGTCACCTTACTAACCACTGCTAGTACGCTTTTATTCTTCTATAAACTATTAGTTTTACAGACTCTTGGTTTTTAAAATAATTTGAGAAATTGAATCAATTTTAGTAGCTTCACAGAAATAAAGGCTAGCATAAGCAATTTCATAGTGAAAGATTTATCTCTGGAAGGGGGTGCATTCATAAGGTAATATGTAGAAAGACATTCTCCTGGAACTAGAGTTAAGGACAGTTCGTAGCCACCATGTGGGTGCTAGGAATCGAACCTGGGTCCTCTGCAAAAGCAGTCAGTACTCTTAACTGCTTAGCCATCTCTCCTGACCTCTGAGGCATTGCACGACACAGGTGCACTCACATACATGCAGGCAATACACTCATACACGTAAAATAAAAATAGTAAATAAAATATTTTTAAAAAGAAAGGCATTCTATATTGAATTGAAATGCATGGTGCCCTGTTTAGTAACTTGCTTGCTAAAGTACTTAAGTTCTTAGAAAGTTACATGCTTGGGATTTGTGTGCATGAGTGTATTGGCTGCATGTATGTAAGTGCACCCATGTGCAATGCCCATGGAGGTCAGAAGAGTGTCAGATTCCCCTGGAACTGGAGTTAAAGACTGTTGTTAGCTGCCATGTGGGTGCTGGGAGTTGAACCTGGATTCTGCAAAAGTGGTGAGTGCTCTTAACTGAGCGACCTCTCCAGCCCCACCTTTGGGGTTTTAAAGTAGCTTTTTTGTAGTAAAATCATTTAATTTCTTATAACATTTAGAAGATCTGAATCCATTTTTAAAGAAACAACCTTTCTTGTTAACATAGCTCTGTTTATTATAGAACTTAGGGGGTTTTTTGGCGTGAATTTGTTTAGTTTTGCTTGTTATTTAGACAGAAACTTGCTTTGTAGCCCAGTTTAGTCCCAAATTAGTGATTCTCTTGTCTCAACAAATGATTTACTATATTTAAATTCATTTTCTCATTTGATTCAGAGGAAATTTTTTAGTTCCTAGTGTGAGTGTCAGACACATCCAGCTATTGAAGTGAACAGACAAAAATCTTTTCTCATGATGGAATACATTCTACTTGGAGGGGGTGGGAAATGTGTATGAGAAGAAAGGGAGTGCATATATATACATATACATACACATATGGATTTGTACTTATAATACACTAGTGTATATGACATGTATATAATGTCATATAGTAAAACTAAAAAGTGCAAAAGTGCTTGGAGGGGGGGGCTCACATAGCTAAAGACTCTCCTGAGGAAGGGAGATGGTTTGAAGGATTAAGCCATGTAATTCTCTAAAGGGAATAGAATTATAGGTAAAAGGAACAAAAATTGACCATAAGCAAGAACTTGTCTGGCATGTGCTAGGTACAAGGAACTAGTGTCACTGGAGCTAGTTGAAAAAGAGCTAATTAATATAGTTAGAGGTCAGATGAGTAACTGTTGAGGATTAGAGTAGGAGGAAGCAAGGGTAAAAAGAAAGAAGTTTGTTAAGAAATTATTAGAGCAATTCAGATAAAAGATGATGTTGATGGGTGATGCTAGAGTTGTGACAAGTGATCAGATTGTAGGTGTATTTTAAAGGTAAATTCCGCAGAATTTGCTTTGCAGGAGTAGAAAACAAAGATGACTAAGGATTTGGGCCTGCAGATATGGAATGGGAGTTGCCGTTTAGCAGAATAGGTAGGACAGCTAAAGAAGACAGTTTTGGTGAGGAATGCATGTAGGAGCTTGTTTGGAGAGATTCCTACTAGACCTGGTGTTTTATAAGCAGGTGGATAAATTGCATGTTTAGGATTCAAGAGAGAAACTCTAGTATCAAAATTTGTACATTTCTAGCATTAAAAATGGAATTTAAAACCACAAGACGGGGCCTGGAAAGATGGCTCAGTGGTTAAGAACCATGACTGCTCTTGCAGAGGACTTGGGTTCAGTTCCTAGCACCCACATGACAGCTAAGAACCCTCCCTAACTCCAGCTCCAGGCGTCCATATAGTAGGTTGGGTAAGATAGCGAAGTAATTAGTTTGGAAGAGAAGAAATATCTTTTTCACACATGCACGTGTGTGTGTTTTCATATGTTGTCTCTTTTATGAGTTTATGTTCATACAGTGGTATCAGTATTAATTATCGAAGCCTTATGTATTTTTAATCTGTCAAGTGAAAGTTCATCCTTGCTTTTTTCATTTCCGTGCCTATTATTTTCTTTTTCCGGAAGAGCTGTAGCTTTGGTTTGTTAAACTTATCTTTCCCAAAGACATTGGATTAGCATTATAAATTTCAGGAGAATTCGACTTTTTGGTAACAGCTATTTTTTGTTGTAAAAACTGAGATACCATATTTTATTGGTTAGATTTTTTTTTGTCATTTAGCATTTTTGAAAGTTTTCTCACATATATAGTTAAGTAGATTATTTTGCTGTTTCTGATCTTTTTTTTTAATTTCCAAATAAACATATCAGCTCCATATAATGATGGATATAATGTACTCCTTTTATGCTCATGAATTATTTCTCTTAAGTAATTACATTACTTGCTATAATTTTGTTCATTTTTCTTTAATAGAAGAGCTGGATAATCATTTTTACAATTATGGCGGACAAATTAACAAGAATTGCTATTGTTAACCATGACAAGTGTAAACCTAAGAAATGTCGACAGGAGTGCAAAAAAAGTTGCCCTGTGGTTCGAATGGGTAAGCTGTTCTGTTGCTCATGTGATGATGAAGGCAGCTTTGGAATAACAAACGGGTATGGCAGTTTCATACGGGCTTTAGCAGGTGCTTTATTACCATTAGTTTCTTTGAACTGCAAAATGAGAAATTCAGAGTTTATTCAAAATTTCTTGTATTAGTTTGTGACTAAATGCTCTTTTTAAAAGAAATTGTAGAATTTCAATATTAAAAGCTTACTAAATATGAAATAAAACCTGAAGTTAACTGCAATTTTTCCTATTCAGCCATATTCTATAATTAAGTCATGGGGAAAGGATTATCAAAATCTTTGTATTAGATGTTGTTTTCATCTTTAAACCACAAAAACACAAAAATTTAGAGCTTAATGATATTAATTTCCTGAGGTTTTGCTATATTTTTAGCTTTAAACCTAATGATTTAAGCTGGCCAATTGTTGACAGTCATTAAGTACTGTTGTATGATTGCTGCCTTATATTAGTGAAGACTTAGTAAATCATAAGAAAAATTATAGATATCATCTATTAATGTTTTCCATGCTATTCAGAAGTTCATTGTTCATGTCTCTAATGCCATGTGAATTTTATGTGTATCCTGGCCTGGAAGGCTGCATAGCTTTTGGAATTTCACTTATCTAGCTAACATGTTTCATTCTTACCTATGGTATGCCTTACCATTTCCAAGACATGTTTTGTGTCATGAATTAAAGATTCAGTTAGTGTGTACACTATCTCTATCTATCTCTAGCAGCCCCCCAAAAAATAAATAAATTCAGGTCAGTCAACTTAAAAATAGCAATGTTTCAAGATTTGCCCTATTTTTATCATATTTTTTCACAGAAGTAGATAAACAAAATATATCAGCTGTATACCTATTGCTTAACAAGAATATATAATTAATAATCTCAGATATTTAATTCAGAATCCCACCAAACACTGATTTAAGACATTATCTCAAATGTATTGCTTTGTGTGGCCTTTGTTACTGAAAATTTTATGTGAGACTTTGGAAAGAGCATTTGCTAAATAATTATAAGAAAGTTTAATAAATAAAGGAAATTACTTTTTTTTTTTTTCCAGGAAAATTATGTATAGAGGTTACACCCCAGAGCAAAATAGCATGGATTTCTGAAACTCTTTGTATTGGTTGTGGTATTTGTATTAAGGTAAGTGATAATATTTTATTTATAAAGTGAGAAAATCTGCAAATTTCTAAATACTTCATATGTTTAAAGATGCAAAGTAGAGGGCAAATAAATTAAAAATAAATTTAGGGAACTAATATCCTTGTAATAGTAGTATTGCTTTTTTAAATTAATGAAGCTATACCTTTTTTATTATTTAGTGTGTGTGTGTGTGTGTGTGTGTGTGTACACATGTGGGTGCACACATACCATGGCATGTATGTGGAGATTAGAGGATAACTTGCAGTGTCAATTCTCTTCCACCATATGGGTTCAGGGGATCAAACTCAGATTACCACCTTTATCTGCTAAGCCATCTTGCTGGTCCCAAACCACACGGTTGGTTGGTTGGTTGGTTGGTTGGTTGGTTGGTTGGTTGGTTGGTTGATTTGTTTGGTATGGTGAACTTTATTGAAGGCATGTAAGAGAATAGGGTTTCCTAAGCCTTTCCCTTTCTTATGGGGATCTGGGAAGGAAACTGAAGAGAGATAGATGCTCAGTGTGTTGGGAGCTGAGTCGGGGTGGAGACTCGCCAGCTGCCTAAGGCTTCTCTCTCCCTTAAGTTCTTGCTATGGTGAGGTGACAGGACTTCTTACTCCTTGAGTTCTTTTTGTGGACTATGGGACCACCACACTGTTGCTGTAGCCAGATTCATTGTCATACCTGGAAATGAGCTTGACAGAGGAGTGGTTGATACCAATGCCAGCTCCAGCATCAAAGATGTAAAAGCGGGTATTGCTTTTAAAGTCACAGGAGACAACCTGATCCTCAGTATAGTCCAAAATGCCCTTTAGGCCACCCTCCAATGCCTGCATCACCACCTTGATGTCATCATATTTGGCATCTCTCTTCATGTGGCAGGTCAAATCCACAACAGACATGTTGCTGGTAGGAACATGGAAGGCCTTGCTAGTGGGCTTTCTATTCAGCTCTGGGATGACCTTGTGCACAGCCTTAGCAGAGCTAGTGGATGCAGGGATGGTGTTCCAAGCAGCCCAATAGCTATCACATCACAGTTTCTCAGAGGGGTCATCCAAGTCTTCCAGGTAGCAGAGACAGCATGAGTTCTGGTCATGAATCCCTCCACAATGATGAAGTTGTTGTGGGCAATGTCAGCCAGAGAGGTTAAACACTTACTGATCCAGGAGGCATTGCTGACAGTCAAGTGAGTTCTCATACTTTTGTGGTTCATAGACATGTTCCTTCTGCTGATACCCATCACAAACATGGGGGTATCAGCAAAAGGAACAGAGATGATGACCTTTTCAATTCCAGTCTTCAAGTGGGCCCCAGCCTTTTCCATAGTAGTGAAGATGCCAATATACTTACTTCATAACATACTCAGCACTGAGCTGAGTGTGGTGGCGCATACCTTTAATCCCAGCACTTGGGAGGCAGAGTCAAGGGGATCTCTGAGAGTTCAAGGCCAGCCTGATGTACATAGCTAGTTCCAGTCCAGCTGGGGCTACAGGAAAATCCTGTCTCAAAAAAAAAAAAAAAAAAAAAAAAAATTCTGCACCTGCATCACCTCTTTTGATGTTGGTAGATCTTACTCCTGAAGATGGAGATGGCCTCATTGATGATGACAGTATTCACTTTGCCAGAGTTGAAGGCAGCCCTGATACCAGGTGCCCAGTAGAGCCAAATCTGTTCACTCCAACCTTCATCATCATGTCTCACGGACTGGCTGGCATGGCATGAAGATGTGCAGCTGTGTCTAGACTAGGAAGGTACAGAGAACCTAAAACTATACTTTTAAGAAATTATTGGGAAAGTGAGGTGGCTCAGCAGGTAAAGGCCCTGGCCCACAAACCTGACAAAACCCATGTAAACACAGAAAGAGAGGACTGACCTCTCCATGTGCACCATGGCATGCATACCCACACACACACACACACATACATATGCAGGCAAAATAGCTTTTTTTTCTTTTTGAGACAGGATCTTTCTGTAGCCACAGCTGACCTAGAACTCATTATGTAGACCAGCCTGGCCTGATCTCACAGAGATCCCCCTACCTCTGCCTCCTGAGTACTGGGATTAAAGGTATGTGCCAACATGCCCAGCAACAAATTTTTAAGAAAAAACTTTATAACTTTGTTTACAGGTTTTTCAAGTTGATTTAATTTTAAAATTCTGTACCTTTAAGTAGGAATACACACAGCTAAATTTCTTTTTAATATGACCTAAAAGTACTATGTCTTGTATATGCATCTATTGTATTTATCACAATAATATTTTTATTTGATGTGTATAAGTGTATTGCCTGCATGTATGTGAGTGCACCCATGTCACGCAATGCCTCAGAGGTCAGAAGAGGGCTTCGGATTCCCCTGGAACTGGAGTTAAGGATGGTTCGTAGCCATCATGTGGGTGCTGGGAATCGAACCCGGGTCCTCTGCAAGTGCAGTCAGTGCTCTTAACTGCCGAGCCATCTCTCCAGCCCCCCAATAATACCATTTTAAACATCTCAATTTTTGTTGCATTGAATACATTGACTATTGACTTAGGAGTGGTAAATAGCATCTTTAGTTCATTTGAGGAGTGTGTGTGTGTGTGTGTGTGTGTTAGATTTTGTTATTTATATTTATGTATCCAGAAAAAGTTCATGAATACCTGAAAATATTTTCCCTTGTTTTCTTACATATGCCTACCTCTGTTAGGAGTTAGGAATCTGGTGTTAACAATACAGTACCATCTGCTCTATTTTCTTCTTTTGCTTCTGTAGGAATAGAATATTCAAAAATTTTAGATATGCATAATTTGTAAATAATAGTATGGTTATGGGGCAGAGATAATTAGAAAACAAATATTTTGTTTCTTTAATTCCTTTTTTTTTGGTCTTTTTGAAGTAGGGTCTCCCTGTAAGTTGAGACAGGGTCTCCCTGTAGTCCCAGCTGTCCTGGAACTCACTATGTAGACCAGGCTGGCCTTGAACTCAGAGAGATCTACCTCCCCCCCCCCCCCGAGTGCTGGAATTAAAGGTGTGCACCACCACGCCCAACCTCTTTCTTTAATTCTTTATGTTCATGTAGTTTATAAAATGGAAGTTCACTGAAATCTCTCTCAGTCAGTACCCTAAGGTCATTGAACATGTCTGCTGAAGAGCTCTCTAATACAAGGTTGTACATTTTGCATATGCCTCTATCATTGTACTTTAGAGATACTTTCTAACCTTGTTACCACTCCTTTTTTTATTAGAGAGAGAGAGAGAGAGAGAGAGAGTGTATGCCACATACATGGGTGCATGTCCATGTGGAGGTCAGAGGTCAGTGTTAGATGTCTTTCTCCATCTTATTTTTTAAGACATGGCCCTCACTGGACCTGGACTTCACTGGTTCAGCTAGACTTCCTGGCTAGCAAACTCCAAAAATCCTCCCATCTCCACTTCTATAGCTCTGGGATTGTAGGAGTATAGTAACACAAGCAGGCTTTTTACATGAATGTTTGGGATCCAAATTCACATCCTCATGTTTGCCGGAGGATGTTAAAACCAACTGAGCCATCTCTCAGTCCACATACTACCACTCTTGATGACTTTCTTATGCTTCCCATTCTTTTTCTATGGATATTCACCTGATATTATTTGAATAGCTTTTTCTGTTGATTTTTTCTTTTTGTAATATGAACTTAGCATTGAAGCATCATTTTAATATGGATAAATAAAAGTCACAACAGAAAAGCGTTAAGCCTTGATCCAACATGCTAACAATTAATAGGATGGAAGTAACCCCCCAAAAAGGACACACTCCAAATACCTTAAAAAAATTTTTCTAAGGTAGGAAAGGAAGCATACAGAGACAGGAATAATTAAAAAGAAATAATGGGGAAGAAAGCATCCATTGTAGAGAAGTTATTCAGCACTCATTGAATGTCTAGGATCATACCAGACATGAGGGGAATATTGAATTTGGCAATGCAGCTTTAGCCTTCAAGGAACTTAATTTTTATTTTTAGGTAAATTAAAAATTCACATATTTGTGAAGCTACTGTGCTTGGAAGATTTCATATAAAAATATTCTTAATCTATTTAAGTCTGTATTTTTTATAAATTAATACAAAATTCTTTATTTTAAATAACAGAAATGCCCCTTTGGCGCCTTATCAATTGTCAATTTACCAAGCAACTTGGAAAAAGAAACAACACATCGATATTGTGCCAATGCCTTCAAACTTCACAGGTATATTTTCAAGTCAACATTCCTCTTTAACTTCAGTTAAGGTTAAATTTCACTTAGTGTTTTCAGAGCAATGGAAACATGGAAAAAATTATATTGGCCATCAACCAAAGAGAAATACAATATTATAACATTATGCAAAGTTATATGTCAGTGGTTCATTCTGGTTAATATTAGAATTAAGTCCCAGAGAACTTTCAAGCAACTACAAACGCCCAGGGCTTAGCCCTGTTGAGTTATATCATAAATGAATATAGAAACTAGACCTCTAAAGATGATTTTAAAAAAACAAATCCCAGATTATTTTAAAATATGATAAAGATTGAGAATCACTGTTGGTCTTAATACCCGTATCCCCAAATAACCTTTAAAGAAACCTGCCTTTGATTCTATTTATCGACTAACCTTATGAACCACAGAGAATGTCATGCTGACTTGGACATCATATTAAATCAGTAGGTCCTTAATTCTTCGAGGTTTTTTTAATCTGCTGAATATTACTACATTGAATCTGGAAGTCTAGATTTTACTAATAAAAAGGTGTCTCTCAACCAGCCAGCAGGGAGAATGAAGTGGAATATTTCTGGTTGATGTGGCACTTTTCTCCTTGTAAGTAAGTGGCAGGCAGGAAAGGAAAAGGGAAAAGAATGACGGTGTGAGGCCGCACCTGCTGTGAAATTGTTTGCCAAAGCATTTTGTGGTACGTTAAAGCTGAGTCTTAAATGTTGAGAAAAACATTACTTTAAAATAGACTTTGAATTGCATAAATAAAATTGGGAGTATGCATGGTTACAGATGCATTTCCAACAATTAAGTTTCTCTTGGCTGTTTTTTTTCCCTAATAGCCAATAATATTTAACATAAGTTTCTTAGCTTATTAATGGATGTGTGTGACATGCAGGTGCATTAAAATACATCATTCAGCTATTATGTACCTTTTTCTACCTAGCACTGAGTTTTTTTGTTTTTGTCTTTCTATATTGTGATAGATTGCCTATCCCTCGTCCAGGTGAAGTTTTGGGATTAGTTGGAACTAATGGTATTGGAAAGTCAACTGCATTAAAAATTTTAGCAGGAAAGCAAAAGCCAAACCTTGGAAAGTATGATGTATGTATCAACAGCTTATGAAAACAAGTATGTCTGGATGTTTTTATGAGATTTTGAGGAGAGAGATGGGTGTGTAATTTTTAATGTTTTTATTTTCAAGATAATTTGTGGACTTTGATTCAAAGACATTGTATAGGACACACTTTTTGTTTGTTTTTTGAGACAGGGTCTCAACTCTAGTCCTGGCTGCTTGGAATTCACTTCACGCCCAACTTTTGTTGTTTTTTTTTTGTTTTGTTTTGTTTTTTGAGATCTGGTCTGCTATGTAGTATCAGCTGACCTTGAACTCAAAATTCACCTGAGTTAGCCTCCCAAATACTGGGATTACAAGCACACAATATCATGTCTAGATCTTATGTTTTGGTTTTGTGTGGGATAGAATCTCATCTTCATTCCCTTTTAGATTAATATTTATTAGTGTTGGTTAACTGAAAATTCTTAGTTCTCTTAAACTTTTGAGTTGGTATGCTTTGATTTGAAACTAAATCTACTTCTAATTTTAAAGTTAGAAACAAAAGTATTCCATTTTAGGTATATGGTCTGTTTTATAAAGCATCTGTTGCCTTTGCAATAATATTATTAACTTGAACTCAGATAAGTATTATATATATTTCTAGGATCCGCCTGACTGGCAAGAGATTTTGACTTATTTCCGTGGATCTGAATTACAAAATTACTTTACCAAGATTCTAGAAGATGACCTAAAAGCCATTATCAAACCTCAATATGTAGACCAAATTCCCAAGGCTGCAAAGGTCAGTTGATTTATAGGGAGAAAAATCTGTATATTATAGATTATTGGTGTGGGTGTAAAAGTTATATCAAAGTAGACTTGCTGTATTTTGTGACTTTTTAATACTAATGGAAAACAGTGAAAATTTTCTGTTATATTCTGACAGGGGACAGTGGGGTCTATTTTAGACCGAAAAGATGAAACAAAGACACAGGCAATTGTATGTCAGCAACTTGGTAAGTGTTTGTTTTGAGTGCATACTTTAATAGACTGTAAATTTAGTTATAAATCCATCTTTATATGGATTATTGAATTAACAGGAAAATCTATAGTAACTGACTTGTTACAATACTCAGTTTTCAATTAGTGTATCGTTCAAACCCAGAGTAAGACATGGAATGAACATTTTGCCCAAAAGAGGTAAAAATGAAATTTCTAATACTGAACACAATGCCTCTAATTGTTCTTTGTAGATTTAACTCACCTAAAAGAACGAAATGTTGAAGATCTTTCAGGAGGAGAATTGCAGAGATTTGCTTGTGCTGTCGTTTGCATACAAAAAGCTGATATGTAGGTTACTTTACAGTTTTTATGTATCTTAATCTTTGTGAGTTTTTATTTGTAACACTGCTAATACTGCAGTAATTTTGAGAGGAATTAATAGTAAAGATATCTGAGGCTCTAATTTTGAGGTAGTATTTTAAAGCAGTTGTGTATATACACTCCGTTTTTCCTGTGGTCAGTCCCACGGGGGAGGAAATCATTTGTTTTTATAAGTAGTTGTGCCTTAAACTACAGTAAGCCTTTTTAAAATAAATCAAGTAAAACATGGTTCTTTAAAGGACTAGTTTGAGTCAGAATGACATGCCATGTGAGGGAGAATAGGAATGAAAAGACAAACTTCCTTCCTGCTGTCTCTGTCTCCCTTCTCTCAGACAGTTTTTGTTCCCATCTTTTTCCACGTTTCTACTCTGGTATACGGTATACACTAAGTCTCCACAAAGTACTCTATGAATTCTGTACACATGAAATGATCTGCTTTAATGCATTTGAACTTCATCCAATTAAGCAAAAGATTCTTCAGACTACCTCAAGACTATATGTACCAGAATATTTTTCATGATAAGGTATCAGTTTATGTGAGCCCAGTCTGATGATCCTCCTCAGACTCACGGGTATATAGTTATGCTTTTCATAATTGTTTTCTTCCTTCCACTTCTGAACAAAATAGAGAATTTCTTTCCAGTACAGCTAGCTGCCTTTCTTTAGCATAAGAGGGTTTTGTGTTGTTGTTAAATCATAAGCCGTTATTGTGCTACTTTGAAAGAATATATAAGGTGGAATTCTGTCACGTGTCATTCAAACTTAACATGCTTGCTTTTTATTTGTCTTAGTTTTATGTTTGATGAACCATCCAGTTACCTAGATGTCAAACAGCGCTTGAAGGCTGCTATTACTATTCGATCTCTAATAAATCCAGATAGGTAAGTACAAATCTGTTATATTCCTAAGTTTTGATTCGGAAATTTTACAGATGTCTAAAGATTAAACGTATCATGTACACATACTTGTTTTTTGTCTTGGTCATTTAGAGCTGCTGTCCTCAATCTAGAACTAAAGTTCTTAGTACAGGATTGGATTGGACTTGGATGCTCTCAAGTTGTATGCAAATTTGTGTGTGTGTGTGTGTGCGCGCGCCATATATATGTTTTAGGGAGAAACAAATCCTTAGTCTTACTAGATCCTGAATTGTAAATCTGTCATATATACACACAACACACTTAAAAACAAAAGAATCCCCAGAAAGATGCTTTAGAGTCTTGCTGTCTCAAAAATGTAGTAAAGCAAGCAGTTCAGAGACCAATGTTGATCTTTGGTCCCCACACATGTGCACCCACATATATACATGAAAGTAGAGAAACATTAAAAATTCCATGAGCAAGTCTGGTAAGTTAGGAACAACCAGAGAGGACACTGGGAACATTAAAACTTCACCTCAAGGTTAGTGGGGCACAGCAGAGAAAGAGAAAAGGAGATGCTGGGACATGGAGGTTAGAGTACGATCATTTGGTTGTGTCTTCAGAGTCTGAAAAATAGGGTGGGTAAGGTGAAGTATGAAAAATAAAGTCATGAAGGGATCGTGGCTGTTAATTTTTCAGAATCGATGAAGCTATCAGTTCCTTAGGCAGCACAAGTCCTACAGAAGAAAAATAACACCTAAATGCTTCAAAACAAAGGTAAAAATAGCATTGGGAAAGACAGTCTTATTTGGCCAAATAGCCATAATTTTCACTTCATATATATGTTTGGACATTAGTGTCTTTGGGGAATACAGGAATGAAAACATAATCCTGAAAGTCAAGAACATCACAGTGTGGTGAAGAAAAGAATACGTTAAGTATCCCAGTCCTAAAGAATATAGTAGCCGACAACTAAGTAGTTTTTAACCCAAGCCCCTTTTTCTAAAATATTTTTACAGCTCTTTATTCTAAAGTGAAAGACATAGGTCATATTTACCTACTTTTATAAAACTATTTTATAATATCAAATGTTCTAGCCTTGTAAAAAAGAGAGCTGAAAACAATTCCTAACCAGGTGACTTCTATTTCATTCTATAAATGTTGAGGCAAATCGCTAGAAAACAAGACGTCACACTTATACTAAATAAATTTAAAAGATATAAAGAATAGGAAGAGGAGGACCCAGGTTCAGTTCCCAGCACCCACATGGTAGCTCCCAACCTATCTCCAGTTCCAGGAGATCAGCCATCCTCTTCTGTCCTCCATAGGCACTAGGCGTGTACATGGTGGACATACAAACATACATGCAACACACTCAGATGCATAAAATAAAAATAAAATTTTTAAAAGAATAGAAAGCTAAATAGGTGTGAACAGATCACAAAAACTAGTGCGAATTGTACTGTATAAGACATGGATGGATGGATGGATGGATGGATGGATGGATGGATGATGCTAAGACAAATTCATTTAACTGAATATTCTCTAGAATATTGCCATATAATTTTTTTTTATA